TATATATATTATATATATTTATATTTTTATATATACTACTATTATATAGTACTATATATATATATATTATACACATTACATAGTACTTTATATATACTTTATATATACTTAATATTTTTATATATATTATATATATTTATATTTTTATATATACTACATTATATAGTACTATTATATTCTTTTTCAATCGTGTTTACGAAAAATGATTGATTTTGAATAAAATATATACAATATATGCATTTATATAAAAATTGGAAGAGCAGTTGATTCAATATCGAATATATAAAATTTTTAAAATTACATAATTATATTATTGTATAAAATAGTGTGAACTTTCGTTAATTGAACGATCATAAAGCCTGGTCGAAACGTTTGCCTGCGTTCCTTCTTATCGAGTTTATATATACGGCGAGACACGAGGACGATACGGCTTGTTTTCGCAATTAGCGACCAGTCTCGTGTGACAGGGAACGTGTGATCACGTTTACGGGATGCTCTGTGTTGCAACCGGAGACAGAGATGGAAAGAGAGAGAGAGAAATTGGAACTCGATGTGTACGTTATATTCGCTCGTTGGAAAGGAAGGGTAATTATTTCGAATTCAGTGCGTTCGAATGAAAGGCGCATCCGATTGATTATTATCGAATCGAGCAAACGAGGTCCGCTTGATCGAGGCCATTCAGCCATCCTCGATCGAAACTCCTCGATTTCCAGCCGTGTGTCGTGTTGTGTTATCGTCCATAATTGTATCGTGCGAGAATTTTAATTGCGTAATTAAATGATCCATCTCGGGGAAGCATTGAAAACGTTCCACGTCTGAACGAACGGTTTCGAGGTTACCTGTAAACGATTGCTCGAGAGAGAAAGGGGAAAAAAAGGAAAATTTTTCGTCCGGAAAGTCGCATGATACGCAGAATGATAGCTTCGTGAGATAAAATAATCAAAAGTTCAAGAAGATTAACGTGATTAACGTTAAGAATTTAAGAGAAGGGAAAAAGGAAAGATTAGAAGATTTAAGCAAGTGAAATTTTCATGGTATACAAAAGGATGGTGATTTTAAAGAAAATATACGTGGAATATATGATGAATGTGTGAAAACAATTTTGATAATTCTGATTAAAGAATAATTGAAAACGGTATAAACTAAAAAAATTTTCGATTGAAGCTATTTCTCAATTAAATACAAATAAATTATTGACAGGAGATAAATATTCATTTTCCTAAAAAATAAACACATAAACGATAAAATTTTACTTCATTTTATTTTCCGCTTATTTCATTCACACGTAGATCAATAATTTAACCAAATATTCGAAAAATATTTAAATTCCATTTACCCAAAAAAATGTCATTCTTTTATTTTTACAATTTGTACCATGATATAAGACATCCTGTATTGTAACTGACGTTGCACGAAATTGCGAAAGATCGAGTCAAAGCCAAGAAGATCCAATACAAATCCAATACAATAATAATAATAATAAGTCACATTCTTCCAAAATCGAAATTCTACCTGCGCTTTTCTTTCTCCTTTGCGAAGATTTAAGTCATTTTCGAAATAAGCCCCTTTCGAATCGAGGGAAATCCGGGGCTCCGGTATCGAATATTTCAAATCCAGGAGGCCCCGATAAGCTGTTTCGGATCGAAAAGTCGGCTGGATGTTGGGCGTGCAAAGGTCGTTAGCAGAGTTTCGAGCGGTGCATAGCAATGAGGCTTGAAAAGGGGGTGGAAAACCTCCTGGGAACCCGGACACCCGGTTACGTTCCATGTACGAAACGAACGAACTGGCTGGCCCGCAACACTGGAGGGGCCAGGTTCCGGGACAGAAACTGACTCATGGCAACCGAGATAATCGAACTCGTTACGAGCATTCTCCTGATTCGTTTTCGTGCGTCGAATAATACGTACACGAGTTTGCACCTTTCTTCCGAATTTCGTTCGACGAACCGCCTCAAATTCAATCGTCTACTCCTCTTGGGCGACATTGATTATTGAACAGTGATTTTTGGCAGAAATAGATGAAAGAAAGGAATATGATAAAGATTGAGCTTAAAAGATTGAGAAATAATTTTTCGTCAATAATGTTGGAAAAATTGTTAAAACAATTTTAAAATCAAATTGTAAAAAGGACAAAGTTGGACAATTAGAAATTTAATTAATTTTATATCAATTCAAGTTCAAGATCGCTTTTAAAGAATATTTTAAATTTTCTTGCCTCTCTTTTTTTTCGAGTTTGCACCTTTCTTCCGAATTTCGTTCGAC